GTGGATGACACAGAAACACTCCGTGGCAACTTGGCCGCGGCAAGGAATTCGACCCCAAAAGCACCCACTAAGGAAGTATCAACGACCCCAATTTCCGAAAACAGGCTAACTGACCTCCAAGATCTATTGCATCAAGTGTCCTGAGTTGCGTTTTTTTGCCAAAAGAGTCAGCGAAAGGGGTGCTTAAAAAAAAGGGTTGCTCTGCTTAGCGCAGCCCAGCTATGCGCAGAAGGTTCGCCAATCTGCCGTTTTCGAAATCCGCACGGAGCCGCAGAGAGAGCACACCCTCGCAAGACACCAAATTCGTCCACAGACTTTGTGCGAGCCTGCGCAGTCGAAATGCACATGAGCATCTCATGAGGAAACTTTAGCGCGAGCCTGCGCAGCCCAAAAGCGCGCCCCAAATATCGGCCAACCACTTTGCGGAAGCCTGCGCAGTCGAAACGCACCTGCAAGATTTTATGAAGTCACGGTTGTACGTAAATATAATGAAAAATGCTCCAGACCAAATTGAGCACCTTGATGAAGCAGCGGCCCCTGACTCTTACCGTAAGAACCCCTTAGTGCTGACACACTGTTTAGGGGAACGATCTTCGGGGACTGTTGGTTTGTCAAGCATCCCAGGACTGCAGAACCCACTTCTTGTTTTGTCGTTTGTGGAAGCCAAGGCCAAGACCAAAGCATCATGTTCGACATCTCATCTGACCTCCAGTCGGTGGTCAACACGACAGACGGGTGTAAGACGATTGTCCGTGTCTGCGACATGGTGTACGAAGCTTTTCAAAAGAATATCCCTGACCTCAAGGTGGATAACCATGTCTGTGTTCCCTTGATGGCCGGGAATGAGGTGGGGGCTTCGCAAAGCTAAGTTTTATAGTGTGAATGAACATAGACTTGCCCACCCTCTCCCCCGCAGGGAGTCTCCCAAGAGAAGTTCTGCCGCTGCACCATTCGCGCGGGCACCCGAGCCTTGGCCTTTGCCCCCGATCGGCTCAGCGACGATGAGCTGGCCGCAGACAGCCTGAAGAGGGCAAGCGCTGGCTCCGCTTGGCTCGGCAAACTCAAGATGCTCAAGGGCACAGTGGCAACAACCTTGTGGGAAGTCCGCCTTCAAACTGACCATCCCGCTTGCATCAAGCCTCTCAAGCCCAAGTTTTGGCTGACAGGGTCCCTGAAGCTGATTGCCAACAAGCTCTACCAAGTCGTTTAGGCCAGCGTGATTGCATGCCTGTGGCCCCGGTAGGTGAGATTTTTGCCATCGGCCGACCATCAACGGCCGACGCCCCACTTTTCGGGGCCAGACTAGGACAAACGCGAGGTGATCAAAATGATTAATCCGTGGCATGTTCCAGGTCAAGCGTCCCTCTTGTTGCAAGTATGTGCGAACCCTTTCCGCCAAATCAAGAACACATCAAAGTGCCAGTGTGTGAGTTTGGACGTGATCTTGGGCAAGCCAGGTGCTGTGCACCCGAAGGGAGGATGTCAAAAGTGGAGCCTTTACATATCGTTGCCCCGGCATGTGTTGGATTTCTCTTTTCTTGGGAGCTCCAAACAAAGACAAACTATTGGAAACAGGCTCACTTTTGGCGTTTTCAAGTGAATGCATCGGCCCAAGACCTCGGTGTTTCATTTGCGGTAAGTTGCCTTGCCAAGTTGCTCATGCCGCCAACCATGGCAGAGCGTGTGAGCACACTCAGCGACTCGGAAGAGGCAGAGCAACAAACACCTGGCGCTGCTCTGCCTGCCCAAGCAAAAGCGTCGCCCAAACCCAAAGCTGGGCGAAAGAGGAAATCTGCTGAGACCAAGCCGCCACTGAAAGCGCCCAGTACGCCAAGCAAAGCGCCGAAGCCACCGATTGCGGAGGGAGAGTCGCAGAACAAAGCCAAAGCCAGGAAGCCACCCATGAAGCGGCCTGCCGCAGCTGCTGGCAGTATGAGAAAGACCAGCATTGGCCAGCCAGAGCCTGAAGTCACGCCCCATCCTGGGCCCAGCCAGCCTGCAGCAAAAAAGCGCCCAGCCGCGAAGTCAAAGAAAGCCAAGAAGCCTGCCACGGGCGAAGGCAAGATCTACGAGGACTTGGGTGAAGGGCTCTGCAAATCCTGACTTTCGCGAGCCACCCGCGTGCGTGCCAGGACCTTCCGCCACTGAAACATGTGCATGCTGGCGGGCACCACTACTACGAAATGAGGTATCCAAAGTCAGGCTTCGTCAGCGTCCGTTGCAAGGCTACGTTGACGATCCTGATTACGGCACCTTTGCCCGGTTTGATTCAAGCTTTCGAGATTTCGTTTTGCGGGCAAGGAAAACACTCACCCAAGCACGTTTCCAAAAGACCCTTCAACACCGCTTGCAGGCGCGCATCCGCGGCGCAAGCCTGAAGGAGAACATGACTGTGTGCTTGGAGGTGCTGAGCCGGCTCGAAGCTGGAGATTCTGAGGGGCATGCCGTTCAGTGCGGCTTCATCAAAATGGGGGAGGTCAGCAAGATGGTTGCGGACCGCACTCAGCCTGGGGTCCCGGACGAAAAGTGCGAGGAGCCGCTGAACCTGCCAGAGGGCGAGGATGCAGAGATTGAAGGACCTTCCCCGCCCCCTGGGTTCAACTGCGAAGACACGCCGAATGAGTCTCAGGACTGAAACCCGCTTGCTAGGAAGTCCACTCTCGGGCGGCCTATCGCTTTAACAAGAGCATTTACTGATTTGTCTCGCCCACTACGTTTGCACAGGTGATCCCTTGATGGCCGCTTCAGAGTTTAGTGCTGCTCACTGTAGTAGTGGGGACTTGGGCGCGCAGTTTTGACATTACGAGTGTAGTTTTGCAAGCATGGACAAAAACGTTGCCTCAGCTTGCAGTGGTCACTGACGCATGTACTGATTTACCCCGGTGCAGATTTGCTTGCCGGAGCAGCCAAAAGCTTGAAGCCATTGATTCTCAAGTTGATGCAGCGCCAAAACCATGTTTTGAGAGTTTCTCAGCTCTCTCCCTCAGAAGGCGAGGCTAAGCCAGCCTCCGTGCGGAAGAAGGAAGCGCCGATTCCCGCATCCAACTTGGGGTTTGCCTCAGTGCGGGTGAAGGGGCGAGCGGCAGCAGCCGTTCAAGCAGGTCAACCAGCCAAGATTGTGGAAGGGACTATGGCGCTTTGGCGGCAGGTGTCTGAGTCTTGCTTCGGGCATTTCGGCGCAATTTCTTTGAGGGCACCCTGCTGGTTAGCTTCAAAGGGAGGCCAAATGTAAAACCCACCATTTTGGGGGGTCCACAGAAAACACACACACACACACACACACACACTGTTTTACATCTACCCTTTGTTCATTGCGATGCCCCTGACTAAGGTAGAACAAGAAGGAGCTTCAGCTGAACAATGCATGGAAATCGCCAACACTGCTGCAAGAGAGCTCAACAAGGGAAAGCCACTACAGGATGTCAAGTTCTTGATCTCTTTAATGATGGAGCATTTGAAGCAACACGCGAGCAGCTCGCATCCATCCAGTGCATCATCAGCAGCCGCTCCTCCTCTCAAGAAGCACAAAAGATCAGTCTAGAATGGAGCGGTTTTTTCGTCGGATGCACAAGCTGTCAGCGCTTTTGTGGTCTGGGCAACTGAACACCGCTTTTTCCGTGTCTCTTAAACTCCTGTGGCTTTAAGCCAGTGGAAAAAAGGAAGCCCGGCACAGCGGGCGTGCCTACTTGCGCTTGGGAAGCTTTTTCATTTGGACAAGCAGGGCTGTGATGCGCTGAACTTTGCTGAGGTGAAACGTTTTGTCGTTATTCAGCCTGAGCGCTTTTCGGTCTGCATTTAGAGTCTTCGTGATTCGCTTCCCTCCAAGACCCTGGGCCCAGAGTTTTTGAATGCGGGGCAGCACTGATACTGCGAAGGTTTTGGCTTGTTCGTGGCGCTTCTTTGCGCCCTTACCTCGGACTTTCTTGTTGTGCGTGCCCAATGCCACGCCGCGAGACTTGGCAACTTGAAGGGCACGCTTGACTCGCATGGAGCATAAATCGGCCTAGCAGGGTCTTTCACACAGTGGAGCAAAAACAGTCACAATACCAACACCTCTTCTGGCTGTTTACTTTGGCACCCAAGCCTCAAGTTCCCCATCCAAAACAAGCTTGCCGAACAAGTTTTTGCCTCTTGGGGTCGTTGTGTCTAGCTCTTCGTTCTCGCAAATAAGGACAGGCACCTTGCTGTCTTCAATCTGCACCAAGTCCTTCTTGTTTCTCAGCATGCGGCACACCGAGGAAGTTGCTAGCACTCCATCTGTAGCAGAAACGTTCTTGATGATTCCGGCCAGCGTGTCAGGCCACTTGCGTCCGCGGCGAGCTGAGGTGTCACGTACATACCAGGCAGTAACTTCCCAATTGGCCCCAAAACGTCGGGCGAAGCATCGTTTGCAGTCTTCTTTCTGGGCCTGAAGGGAGTACGCTTTCGCCCCAAACTTCCGCAGAGCTTCCCCCGGAGACTTTCCCAGGATAACGTGCAAGCGAGCTCTGTGGCTTCGTACCATCCATCCACCAGCTTGAGACGACTTCCAACCCTAGGTTTGTTTGAGTCTGCGCTGGGTGGCAGCATCAACGTTGCGCGACGCAACATTTGAGCCAAAATCGTGTAAGATGAAGTTTCAAACTGCTCCGGCAAGGTTTGTCAAAAAACCCTCAGCATCCTTCGCTCGCCGAGGCCCTGGCGTGGGCGGTGCGTGGCACAGCAGCCAGCGTAGCGCGGCGGGCGGGACGCTGGCAAAGTACCCGGAACAATCCCGGGTTTGTAAAAGGTACCCTGGGGGATTAAACTGGGTACCTGAAAGGTTTGGACTGGGTACCTTGTAGAGGGGCCAGGCTTCCTTTTTCTCACTGCTGCAAACGGCGTAACAACCATTGCCCAAAGCCATTTTCAACCCAGATCAACCAGCGATGCAGCAACCCATGCTGCGGCGCCCCGATTCAATCCGGCGCCCCGAATCAAAGGTAAACTCATTTTTTGACCATTCGCGCAGACCGAGACAGGCCACGGGGTCTGATCCACCAATGGGGCGGGGTTCCAGGCCTGTAGTCGGGGGGTGTCGATTGTTTCCTTGTTTTTTTGTTTAAAGGGTTTTTGGGGGGTACTCATTTTTGGTTTTGTGCTGTTAAAGGGAAACCAGGAGGAGAACCACAATTTGAAGAGGGGGGCGTCCTGATTTGAGGGGGCCCTAAACAAAAACTTGATGGTTTGGATTGGATGTGGAGTTGAAACCCTGGCTTTTGAGGATAAATGGGAAGACACCCCACTCCCAACCAATCCAAACTGCCAATTAGAGGGAACCCGAGGGTTTCTTGTGGGACTGAACAATTTGTCAGACTTATCTTGGCAGGTGATGAAGGGATGATCACCACCCAGACCGAAAATCTAGACTGATAGATTTCAGATTTATATCTCTTTGGTTTTCCCTCCAACAAGAAACTGCGAACTTTTGCAGGGCTCGTATCCGTTTGGCGCATGGTTTGTTTCCGGCTTCGTCTCAGATTCCTTCCGCGGATCACGCGGGTAGAGAAAGGCCCCCGGCTTAGTGATTCCGCCGCTCTGTGGCGTAGCCCATGGCTTTTGCGGTCGTCTGGCGCTCGAGTCCAGAAACACCACGTTGATACAGATCCACACACACTTAACACCTCGAACCTTCCTGGCACAGTTGTATTGTCAGGTTCCTTTTTGCCACGTACCTTTGCTGCCTTCGACATCGCACACATTGGATCAGTCACATTCTCGTGAGAGACTGAGAGACCCAACTCTAGTGAGTTGAGTGAACTCAGTTCTTCTATGCACCCAGATCCAGGAGCCTGCCAAATTCCATTTCAACAATTACGGGACCAAGCAAGCTTGTGGGAGTCACCGAGCTGACTGGGTCGCACTGGTTGCCAGGTACTACTATGGCCTGGATGCGCTTTTCCAGGCAGGTGTGTGGAAACTCCAGCCCGAGACCGCGTTCTGTGGGTTTCAATTTGCCATCAGCCAACAGAACGAAGAGCCCCGCCTTGTGGTTTGGCAGTGGCTTTTCTTGGGCGACCTTCGAGCAGCCAGCACTGAGGTCCTTGGTTCGCAAAGAAAATTTCACATATCCAAGATCAACCAAGCAAAGCAAAATATGAAACATGGGGTTTGTGTTTGTGCTTCTTGCGGTGGGTTGCTTAAAGAGAGCCAAAGGATCAACACCCATTCCTGGCATGAGACAAGCCCAGTAGTGAGGGGGAGCAAGAAACGGCGAACCCTTTGTGGATAGAGAACCGAAAGGAGACCAAATGGATTTGGCAGGAAATCTTAGGGAACATATGCCTCTAAAGCAACTCAAAAGTCTGCAAACTTTCATGAACCAATTGATGCGGCTGGCGTTTTCCCGACAGCTCCTCCATGGCCTGCCCCCTCATGACCCTTCATAGCAATCTTGCCTTGGGCAATGCAACCAAAGGGGGTTCAATGAAAGGTTGTAAGATGCTCATGTAAAACAAAAAGCAACACCCCAAAGCAACAAAATGCGTTCCACTTTGTTCAACTGGTTTGCCCCTGACCTTTTTGGTTTCAGGCGCACCCAGACATCGTGGAGCGCCTTTGTGCTGACGCGCAGCAGCTGCTGGGGACCTTGTTGGACGGCCTGATTTGGCGCTCGAAGCGCCCGGCCTTGGGTTTTCGGGTCGGTTTTTGGATTCAGTTTTCTTGGTCTCTGAGTCGGTGGTTCTCGGGTTTCCTGAAAGCTGAAAGCTACGGGGGCTATAGGCACGATTGCTTTGTCCCGGAGTGGGGATGTCGCCTTGGCATCCGTGGCTTATGGAATCCCTGAGGAACTGGGGGGGGGTCCAGGGGGGCGGGTTCGGTTCCGTAAGGCTCCCTAACCCTAAGCCCAAGCAACCCGAAACGGGCACTCAACTACCCACCTGGTACCCACCTGGATGGGATTCCAGGAGCTGAAGGTGCTGTACTTCACGGAATTCTTTGGCTCACCTTTGGGACACCTTTGAACCAGGTAAAGTCCTAAAGCTGGGGACAACACTGTCGCACCTGAGTAGTTCGGGCAAAAGTCCTGGGATCATCCATCGCTACTTTTATTTCTGCCTCCCCCCCTGTTCGATACATAAATGGGAAAATAGTAGCACTTTTCTACCTTCTTTTGCTTGCGAGCGTATTTTTTCGATTCGAGCATTAATTTTGTTCGGCCACATTGTTCCATCAAGACAGCAGGTATTGGTTTTCCAAAACGAGCGCAAAACGCGCAAACGAGCGCAAAATAAGCGCAAAAAGGGCGCAAATTTGCGCAAAAAAGTGCAAAAGGGCGCAAATTCCAAAAAAGGTACGAATTCGACACTCGTCCGGTCGACTCATTCGATCCCTCGAGCATTTTTTTCCCAAACGAGCACTTTTTCTGTGGACGTTGTGGCCGGGGCAGAAATATTTCGTAGCACAATTTTAGGTAGCGTTGGATGACCCTGCATAATCCACAGTCGTTCACGCCCCCAAAAGCAGGATATAATTTGCCTAACAACTGTTTTTGGGAATGCCCACTGGAGGCCCAGTAGGGGAGGTGGAAGGTCCACATGTAGCTCATCCATTTGCTGTTCGATACTTCTAGTACCTGATAAGAATCAGATCGCCAAGTATGCAGCTTCCCTCTAATCGGTGGTTTGGATTGGAGGTTCGGAGGTTAGGAATGGTTGGGGCTGGAATTCAAATCCAAACCGCCAACTCACGTCCTGAGTTGATCGGGTTTATCTTTTTGAGGGTTCCGTGTTTCATTGTTTTTGTTGGGGGTCCTTTTTCCGATGGGTTTCGTGTTTGCAATTTGTTGTTTGTTGCGGCGAGTTCCCTTGCGCTTGCCTTTGTTTTGGGGTCCTTTTGCTTTGCCTTTGTGTTTTGGCAGTGTTTCCTTGTTCCTTTTGTTGCTGGTGGGCTCCTTTTTCATTTTCTTTCCGTTTCTGACCAATTGTCCTTTTCCCGATTTGGTTGCCTGGTTTGAGTTCTTTGCTTTCTTTTGCGGCTCGCTGTCTGCTTGTTCTTTGGGCTTATATATATATATATTAGCAATCATTACGATGTTGCTTTTGTTTGATAAACACCCAATGCTTTATCACAAGCCGTTTAAACAACAACCGCGTTCTTTTCCCGCTCTCTGGGCGGCTTGCTGCTAGCGAGGCGCGCCATCAACGGAGCAAGACGGGTGAACTCCTACGTGAAGCACATGGTTGTCCGAGATGGGAAGTTGCATGGTGCTCCAACTTTAGCATGTTTTGATTGTTTCGACAAATTCCCCATTTGTTGGAATGTATCCCTGTGTTGATCTTGTTTGTTTTGAGGTGTTCCCGTGTTGGACATGTATCCTTCTTTTGTGTGTGTGTGTGTGTGTGTGTGTTTGTTTGCTTGGCTGGTTGGTTGGTTGGTCGGTTGGTTCGGTTGGTTTGTTAGGTTTGTTTGTTGAGTTCAAGTCTTTCCCATTTTCAGAATGGATTTTGAAGCACCGTAAGCCGGGCTGGACTGGCACGATTCGAAGAGGGGTCCCACATTGACTCCTCATTGGGTTAGACAAGGCTTGAGCCACAGCTGCACAGAATCCGGCTGAAGACTAGAATCCGTAAAATGTGATCCCCAAACGATGTTGACATAAGAAGCTCCAATTTGGTACTGTAAAGCCAAATCGGGGCTGTTTGGGGGAACTGGGCAGGTTTGAAGGGTCCCAAAAGGTTCCTGCTTTCCTGATGTAGACGGAAGTATTCAGATGGGAACCGCTAGGTGTCTGACGCCATCGTGGGGGTTGGAAACTGCGCTGCCCTTTGGATTTCCCTTCTCTCAGCTCAGGTTCGCGGGCGCCTTGAATGCCATTTGCTTGTCCCAGGACGTTAAGATCATCTCACATCCAGTGGTGGTACTGATTTCAGACACGCTCTGGGCCGGTGTGGTCCGGCGCCAATTTATTCTGTCCAAGGCGTGATCGACTGAAACAAAGTGGGGAACACCCAAACAAGTCGTGGCGGCCTCACATGTTCGGCGGGGAATATTGGGTTCGGTCAACATGTCTAGTCCAGGTGCACCAATTGTCCCAGGTCCCAGGTCATTGCGGAAAACCAGCAATTTTCACAATAGCTCGTGGGCCACGAAAATTTGCACCCAGCCAGGTGAGCTTCCTATTCAGCCTGCTTGTCTTTATGCTGAGCGAGGCGATCTTGCCCAAGACAGATTCTGGGGATGAGCTGAATATGCGCATCGCTGTCTTCACTGGCCGGCTCATCAACTATTGTTTTAGTATGGCCCGGCTGATGGTATTTCACGGGCGCCGGTTTTACAAAGCGTACACGACAGGTTCTACTACCAAGGGGCGATGCTGTCGTACACCTGAGTATCTGAAAGACGAGGATGCGAGATTGGGCTTCTTCCTCATGTTTTTGCTCATGGCCATGTGTGCCACTGAGCCCATGTTTTATTGCGCCCACGAGATCCCCGCAACTGGGCCATCTGAGAGGTGCGACAATGCAAAGCCAGTGATGCAGATCTACATTATTTTCTCCATGGCGGCCATGGTGTTGCACTGGCTGCTGGTCATCAACCTCTCGGTCTTCGCCACAAAGCTGGCAGCATTCGTTCTGGTGATCCGCGAAGTGCTCTCGGAGGTGGGCGATCTGATCCGAAATCAACTGGTTTCAAGGGCCGGGTGCTTCAAGGGGCATGGCACCTAGCCAAAACGGGCTGTGTCAAGCTGTAGAGATGGCCTGAGACTTTTGGGCGCAAAGAATTTCACAAATGGCAACCTCAGTAGGCTGGTTACCTACTGATGCATGCGGGGAAGTCTCTTCGAAACATGACTTGGCGGAATTTGACAGTATAAGATAAGAGCATGTTTTGGAATCTGCGTGTGTGTGTGTGTGTCGTGTGTGAGTATGTGCTTTCCACGAACCAGGCAAAGAAACGCAACTTGTCGCACAGGGTTAGCTCAGGGGTGAGAGACTTCCCGCAAAGCGCCGCTGCCAGGTGGGCAAGTTTATGGTGGCCATTATGCTCCATGGACGAAACTGGCTTCGTGTAGCTAGCTACGTTTTGATAGCTATTGGTGTGTGTGTGTGTGTTGCGTGTGCGTGTGCGTGTGCGTGTGCGTGTGTGTGCGGGTGCGGGTGCGGGTGGTATGGGTGCGTGTGTGTGTGTGTGTGCGTGCGTGCGTGCGTGCGTGCGTGCGTGCGTGCGTGCGTGCGTGCGTGCGTGCGTGCGTGCGTGCGTGCGTGCGTGCGTGCGTGCGTGCGTGCGTGCGTGCGTGCGTGCGTGCGTGCGTGCGTGCGTGCGTGCGTGCGTGCGTGCGTGCGTGCGTGCGTGCGTGCGTGCGTGCGTGCGTGCGTGCGTGCGTGCGTGCGTGCGTGCGTGCGTGCGTGCGTGCGTGCGTGCGTGCGTGCGTGCGTGCGTGCGTGCGTGGGCGTGCGTGTGTGTGTGTGTGTGTGTGTGTGTGTGTGTGTGTGTGTGTGTGTGTGTGTGTGTGTGTGTGTGTGTGTGTGTGTGTGTGTGTGTGTGTGTGTGTGTGTGTGTGTGTGTGTGTGTGTGTGTGTGTGTGTGTGTGTGTGTGTGGTGTTTTGTGTGTGTGTGTGTTTTGTGTGTGTGTGTGTTTGTGTGTGTGTGATGTGTGTGTGTGTTGTGTGTGTGTGTTTTGTGTGTGTGTGTGTTTGTGTGTGTGTTTGTGTCTGTGTCTGTGTCTGTGTCTGTGTCTGTGTTTGTGTCTGTGTTTGTGTCTGTGTCTGTGTCTGTGTCTGTGTCTGTGTCTGTGTCTGTGTCTGTGTCTGTGTCTGTGTCTGTGTCTGTGTGTTTGTTTGCTTGCTTGCTTGCTTGCTTGCTTTCCTTGCTTTCCTTGCTTTCCTTGCTGGCTTGTTTGCTTGATTGTTTGTGTGTATCTTGTTTGCTTGTTTGCTTGCTTGCTTGGTTGTTTGTTTGCTTGCTTGCTTGTAGTTTGCTTGCGTGCTTGGTAGTTTGCTTGCTTGTTTTGCTTGCTTGTTTGTTTGTTGTCCGTGTTTGCTTGTTGGCTTCGTTTTTGCTTGAGATCTTGAAAGAGCATTTAGACATGTTGATCTCTGATTTGTTTTTTCAGCGGAACACATCGTCTGGATTTGAAAACAAAACCTTCAAGGGACGATGGTGCTTTCAATTAGTCTTCTTCCATTTTCGCCGAGGTTCATCCTCATCACGTTCTCCAGTGCCATTGCCACCCTGAGACATGACGTGAAGGAACTGAGCACGCTGCCAAAGGCGGCCAACTGCTTGTTCGCCACCACAGTAGGCATCTACGAAGGCCGGGGGTGTACGGTTGTTTCAACAAGACAATTGCCCGCTCTGTTTCCAACCCTACTGGACTGGTGTATCTCAATACGGAAAACCAACCTCAAAGGGGACTAGTTTGAACATGACTCCAACTGGAAAACAAACTGCCTGCAAGGGGTCCCAACCACTGCGTGCGACCCCCTTTCAAGCTGCAACTGAATAGAACATTGAGCCTGGCAGCTTTCGATTCCAATCATGGAGTATGGTAAATATGGCCCAACAGGTATTCTTGGGCAGGCCCGAAAGCCGTTTGTGAAATCAAAAGGCGGCACGACCTTCTTCATCATTCCCCCAGGCCCGTTTCAGGTTTCTCCGGGGAGGCTATCCCAGGTTTCTTGGCCTGAAAGGCGACTACCGGGAGATGTTACACCAGCCCGCGCTGCTTGCCCCGGTGTTTCTCTTTATCACGGTGTCAGCGATTTTGCTGATCAATCTGCTGATTGCTCAGCTGAAGCCCGGCGCAAGCGGGCGCACCAGGGTTTTAGAAGACACGTGCCAAGGGCATTGTGGACTGATGGAGGTTGAATGTTGGGGTTCGGTGGGGAAAGTAAAGTCCCTTGGTGCTGAGCCAGAAGGGAAGACTGAAACCTGCGTAAACTGTGTAATTTTGAGCCGCACTCATATCTTACCGCAAACAAAGAACTTGAAGACTGGGTGATGACTTGTGTGTTTTCTCTCAATGACCGATGCTTGCGCCGTGGTGGCGCTCTGCTGTACAGAGCCGCCTTATGGACTTGAATGGAGAACACACACGGAAACGGTTTCTGGGGACATACATTCCTGGTGTCTTTCCATTTGTTTGAGTTATTTGTTCTTGCGCTTGTTTTTGTGTCTTTCCTTGTTTGTTTGTTTATATATTTGCTTGTTTGCTTGGTTGATAGTACGTGTTTCTTCTTGTTTGTTTGTTTGCCTGACCTGTCAATGCCTTTGCCTGAAGCCGCGCATTCTTGTGGCGCTTGCAGTACCTTGTGGCAGGCCCCAGGCCTTTCGAGCTTCACCCATGGCACTTGGCCCAAAATGTGCTGGAGGAATGGTGGCGTGGTTATCATAGTTCAATTGGGTGACCCTAAATTAAATGGGTTCTAAGAAATGGTGTCTAAGATGCTACATGATTGTCCTTTGTTGCAGGCTGGAACTCGTTTATTATAGGCTGATTCAATTCATGGGCGTTCAGTGTCATGATGCTGTGCCTTTTTTTCCCATGGCCACTGGTCTCAGTATCCTACAAGATATAGTGTTAACTTAAGTGATGGGCCCGTAAAACCAGGGGCACCTGACAGATCTGCCAGATACCTCCCTCTAGGCCATGGCAACGTGGGAGGAAGGGTATCCTGGGTTGACATTCGCCAAGTGTCCTTGCAGCCCCCCCCTTGAAACCAGTATTAGTACAATTGGGCCTTATCATCCTGGGTTCCACCATACAACTTTAAGGTTCAATGAACCAGTACCCCAGAGTCATCCTGGGTCGACCTTCGGGTGTTATCAGACCCAACCCCCAGGAACTGCTCCTACGACTACGTCTACGGCGACATGCTGGGTTTCGCCCGGCTGGCGCGGGCCTCCTTGATCGTGGACGCCATGGTGGCGTGCCCGCCTGCGAGGCGGAAGCGAGAGAGCAACCGATGTCGACCCCCCTTCCCCCGCAGTGGGAATATATCTGCGGTTTAGTAAGAACAAGTGACCCAAAAGCGGGATATACACCAGTGACCAAGAAAGCCAACTCACTCAAAGTTTGCTTCTTCAGCCTAAAAGAGAATGATCATTGGAGAGTTCTGCTTTTTGTGGGACATTTGTGTTCTCACATATGGACCCTACAATGGTGGATACTCCATTTGGTTTCCCTAACCAAGAGCAAAAGGCGACCCTCAAACACACATGTGGTGGGATCTTCAACCTTCAGCTTGTTGGGAACAAGCGTATTGTCCCACAAACCAAAAATAAGCTTTCGACGCAAGGGGGAAGAACCCACCAACTGTAGGGGTTTCTTGGGGAGATACTTACAGTGGATGGACACCAACTGGTGCAGGGTTTGCATCCACAGTAGGGATTTGTTGTTGGTTTAGTGGGGAGATTTCATTGGCGAGGTAGATCTGGGTGAGTCTTTGTTTAGGGGAGGTGGTCCCTTTGGTAGGCACAGACTGTATAAATTCAAGGCCGCCTTGGGCGAGCCGTTGCAGCTAGTGACTGGTGTCTATGGGCCATTGAGAAACAAAGCCTTTCCCATGGCTTTCCTTGCAAGTTAGTATTGGACAAGGGGGGGTATTGGGCAAACAGGTGGATGCCCTCATAGCCATATTGCAAGAAAGGGAACAAGGAAGCCCTCTAATGGACCTTATCTTACCATGGTTGTGTAGTTGTTTAAGGAGGTTGGTTTACTTGCAATGTTTAGGGCATCCGCCGTAGTATATCGTTGGGGAGGTAGTTGATGGTCCTTTGTTTGATATCCTTGTAATCAAGGTATTAGCGAGGTAGTTTGTGTTTTTTGGCAGAACTCAAAGCAACCGAGGGAGGGGGTTGACAGCCTTGGGAAGGAGGGGGGTGCCTGCCAGTCAAGCAAAGGTTACTTGTGCGGTAGAGCTTTCGGGCAGAGCTTAGACAATACTCTTGGTGGAGCTTGTCTGTTGAATTGGTAAACTTCAATCTCTGCTAGGCTTCTCCAGGCTCCAACCAATGATATTTTTCTGGCCAGTCAATGCAGAAGGTCAGTGTAAGATATTTGATGAGGTACGGTATAGATCTCGAACGAAGATTTGATTGTTGCAAGTGCCGAATGCAAAACAACAAGTACCCTCCCACCCAGTAACATAGAACCCAATTGGGAGGGTGGAGACTATTGCAATGGTTGGGCCCTAATGGCTCCAAGAAGACAGAGTTTCGGAGCCAACATCAGGACCTGAGTGCATCCTGTAGGTTGTGGAAAGTTGGGTAGGTTGCCGCTTTTCTCATGGGAATCAACTACTTTGCTATGGCAAGGGTTACTGTTCAGAATGGTGCAGAGTGCTCTTATGCGTGAAACTCGGCTTTCAGGTCGCCGAAACGGTAGACCCGTTTTAGGACCTCAAATTGGCAAATGAAGGCCTGATCAATAAACACAAGAAATGACTGCTGGTTGACGTCTCCACAAATGGAACTCGTAACTCTGCTTTTCGGAAAGGTTTTGGTTCCATGTCGTTCGGGTTCCATCTAGTTCCCTTACAAGTTGCTACACATCCCCATATTCGAACTGTCCCCCATCTTTTTCCCGAACCGGGAGTTACGGTTGAGCCCGGGCTCCAAAGGCTGAGCTTCGGAAGCGGGATTCGGCTTGCTTCTGAGGTTCACCAAGTTCGTGTCTTCTTTGCGCTTCGACCAGCTCTTGGAGTTTGATGAGGGTGACGTGGGCCTGGGCGGCGGCATCCAGATTCGGGAGCCCGCCAACTTGAACCCTACCTCAGAGGAGCCACCATTCGCATTCGGAACGGCAGAATGCCACCAGACATTTTTTTAAGATTGGACCCTCCAAAATGGCTTCGGTGTTCCTTCTGATTTTCCTTTCAATCCACCAAAAAGGGGTACTAAAAAAAGACGCTGTTGAAACTCTCACAAAAGGAAGCCAAAGCAGGATGGGAACTAACAGAATTTAGGTCAGGGCGGTCTTTGTGAAAACTGGTTGGTGGGAAGAAAGGCTAGTTGTTTCAAGATCATCGGGATTCGGGATGGTTGGAGATAACGAGTCCGCTGAAAATGTTGGGAGCCCTCCAACTCTTGCTGAAAAATGTTTTAAAAGGGCTCTGGAGACAGGGGAAGGAGACAGCGGAGGGTACAGGGTAGTGTGCCCGAAAAACAGGTGTTTTTGTTGCAGAGCAATGGACCTGTTGTCTGTGTGTGGACCAGCGTCGTGTTTTCTTCGAGTACCGCCGTTGTTGATGCTGTGTTGTGTTTTCTCAGGGAGTTGTGGGATATAAAAAGGATACCGTTGTGGGTTCACATCTATTGTGAGACACACCCAGCCCAACAACACAGGTGACACTTGTCCTCCCCAGTGGATTCAGACACCTAGAGCTTGCGAAACCCTTTGTTTTGCATGTCTATTTAGGGAAACCCTACCACACATAAGTGTCAAAATATGGGGGACGCCCAGACCCTCATGGTGGTTTTGCTATTTGGTCATTCTTTGAACCAACCTTTAAGACGGGTCCCTCAAAAAGAGCAGCTAGACACCCACGTATGGACTCCAAAGCCAAACTAAACAATTTGTTTCCCAAGGGTTGTTCCAAACAGACCTTCTGACCTTTTGTGATTCCATTTTTGGTCCAACTTTAAGCAAGGTACGAAAAAAGGTTATGAAGAGGTAAGACCATTTTTCGAGGTCCTGAAAGAAGCACGGGAAGCTTTCCCCCCAAAGCACAGACTTGGAACAACCAGCAGTTCGGACCGTCCATTTTGGGCTCCATCCATGTTGGCTCAGTGGCAAAAAGACCCCCAAAAACATATCCGTCTTGTTTGTGGGGAATTTCATTGCGGCGAGTGCACTGAGTACTGCACGCACTGAGTACACCGAGTACGCACCGAGTGCGCCCAGCGCACCAGCTCACCCAGCATGTGATTAGCAAATGCCCCCCTCCAAACAACTTTGGGGGTCAACAAAGAAAACCTAGGGGGTCAGAGTTGGGCTGCTCAAGCAGAGCAGTCTTCCAGTAAGTACTGCTTAGTACTTTTATGCATTTGGTTTAGACTTGCGTTCGGCGCCCAATTGGATTGGTTTAGTAGTTTTTGTGTATTCCTGTGTACTGGATCAGCAGTCTTTAGAACTGATTTAGTATTGGATTAATGTTCCTTCGAGCTGGCCCAGTGCGGTTTAGAATTGGTTTAGTACGTATTGGTACAGTATTCCTTGGCCCAGACATTGTTGTATTCTCTATTTCCTACCCGTTTTTTCGGGGCTTCCCTGTACCACCCCCTTGAACATGCGTTGCATGGGTTGCCGTTTTAGAAGGGATATCACAACAAATTTGGTTGGTTGGGGCCTCAGTCGGTTTTGCTGACTTGGGAATTGGCTCGGTATTGGCTTACTGCTGTATTGGCTTACTGCTGGTCTCGTATTGGTGTTCATTAAGTTAGTGTCGCTTTAGTACTGCCAGTGGTGGGGATCGTGACGGCCCCCGGTACACCGAAGACAACTTTTGTCTGCTTTTTGCCACCCTTGCTACACTGTTCCTTTTCAGGGTACAGTCTCTGTGAATTCTATTCACCGAATGCACCCGGCCCGCGCGCGCCCGGTGCGTACCCGGTGTGTGCTCGATGCACCCGATCTGGCAGTCCCTCTTTCCTGTCGCACTGGGGAATTTGACGTGCTCCTTTAGCACCTGCTGCTGGTCTCTTGTCGGGAATGGTAGGAAGATGGCAGGAAGATGAATTCCCACATTCTCTAGCACAAGCAAGAGGAAGGAGTTTATGTGTTGGATTTCCTAGCCATCAAGCTTGCACCTAGGTGTAGCGTGGTAGAACCCATGCAAGTGGTGTTTTTTTTGTTTTCCTGGCTTAAGCAACCATGTTTGGATGTTGACCTATCAACAGAACAGGTAGCGCCGCACTGCAGCCGTGGAAGGTTCGCGGCAGGTTTGAGGAAGTCGTTGTTTTTTTTCTCCGCGGAAGCTCGCGGAAGAGACCTTGTTGATTTGCACATGGTAGTTTGATTTCGGTTGGGTGATTGTTGCCAAGCACGTTTACTAGCAAACCGTGCGCACGAATTCCCTCGCGGAAGCTACCTTCTTCAGTTTCCAGAAGCAACTTGCCTGCGGAAGGCCCGCGGAAGCACTTACACAAACTTATAAAGAAGCATGCTCGCGGAAGGTACCCTTCACACCGCGGAAGCTTCGCAGAAGATTTCGCGGAAGGGTCAGGACCCATTTAGGGTGACCCTCAGGGTGGTCTCGGACTAACGTGAGGTTTGCTAGACTAAATTTATATTGGAAACCCAACACCTAACCAAGTGTAGGGTCACCTAAAACTGCCAAGCCCAGCAGGTCCAAGTACCCTGTGAGGATGTACTACCCCTCAACTCCATCCTTAGAACGTACCAAAGGAACCTCTGACTAATATGGGTATGATTTTTCATTGACCCTGTGTGTGCATCCTGCACCAGTTGCGATGAATGGAGTATGAGGAAGCCCTCTGAACTGTGGGATGATCATAGGTAATCCACTCACTAACTGGCGCAAAACAGAAGCCTCCATCCACAGTAGGTTTCCTATTAGAGTGTGTGTCTTTTGGAGGGTACCCTGGAACCAACCATGTTGGGGTTGTTGGAGGGTACCCTGGAACCAACCATGTTGGGGCTGCCCGATTTTGAGACACGTCCATGAAATCACCACACCCCAGGTGGTGGTTTCGGTTCGCTGGTTTGGCCCTTTCAGGACATCATCCAGCGCTTCGGCGGCACCAGCTCCCCGCAGATGCAGTGGCCAGAGGACGAGCAACATGGCGAAAGTCCGTGGTTGGGGGTCGTTTCTCCGACACAGGTTGCAGGTGGTTGGTTTCCTTTTGGGTTTCCTTCAGCGCCATCAAGGGGGATCCCTGTGTTGAGAAACACCCATATAGTTAATATGGTCTGCCTGCTCTAATGTGCTCGCCTGACCCTTTACGAGCTCAAAGGTCCTTGACTCGCGACTGATATGTTGGCGAAGGGGTGTTTTTGCAGCCAGAAAGCTTTGGTCACAGATGCTCAAGGGTAATTTCCATACCGGGCGCATGAAATTGATCATTCACTAAATCAGAGTCTCAATTGGTTTTACGGGTCTAGTTGTCCGTTAGTGAATTATTTTAGGTCGTTGCAAAATAATGGTCCCTGATTGACTCACGTTGCGGACTTGGGATGGCCTGTGCTTTAGAATGCTCCCCTTGTCAACACAAATCGTGTGCTTGCAAGTGCAGGAGTCGCGGTTTCCAGTGGAAGCCAACATAAATTCCAGGAAAATGTGTGACCGAAAAAGTCATCTCGTTTGCATTGCATTGTTCCAAAGGTTTCCCAAAGATGGTAACTTCCTGCTCGGTGTTCCATCGACGAGACGGCCCGAGGTTGGAGCAAGACCGCTTTGCACGGATCAACAGCTTGCTGGCGCAGCTGAAGAAGGCTGACATATGCCCTTCCCCTGTGACGGGTTGTTTTTGGGGGAACCTCATGTCCCCATGTGGTTTTTAAGGAACACCGAGGCAGACTCCGTTTTTTAAGGCCCCCCAGGGGTTGCAAGGGATCAGTGCCCTGACCAAGATACACACAGATAGCAAACGTGGAACCCAGCTACCGATTGGAATCATTTTCGTTAGCCTTGGAGGGATGTAAGATAACCCATAGGTTTCAACATGTCATGTGGGCAACTGAGCTATATACGCTTCCACCAACAAACCCGGAACTGGGAGGCTAACTGTTTCCTTTTGTTTGGGGAGGACATGTTGTCTCAAAATAGGGGGACCCCTCCAGGTGGTCTCTGGTCCCCCTTCGAAAGCATGCAAAAAAAGGTCCTTATTTTGAGAGACCCGCGCAAATGTTCCACGCGTAAGCTCGGACCTGGCAGGGCGGGAGCCGCAGCGCTCAAGGCTCGAGGTTCGAGCAGCCACCCGGAAGCGGATAATCAATCAGTTAGATCCGTGGTTTGGGATGCATTTTGTTTTGAAGGGGAAGCCAAAAGGAACAGCGCCATGTTTGGGGGTCAAGGCACACCTCCGTACAACAAGACAAGTGGCAGCGGCAAGGAAAGCTGTTCGAGTAAGCACTAGCTAGACACTAGGGACACTGGAGCATTCGAACCATTGTATCGAGTCGAATGATCTGGCAGTCACCAAATGGGTATGAATTTAATTGAGGACCCTTTGGTTCAAATCATGTAGGTGGGGATTCATGTCCACCAACCACTCATCAGGGAGTTCCCTATTTAGATGCTAGTTCATCAGTTTCGTATCCTGTACTCCATGGTCAATTTGGTTTAGACATTTGGGCTCAGTAGATTACCTAAAGCTGCCATTGCGGGAGCAGCATGTTTTGACCGTGGCTCATGTGCCGGAAGGGATCTTGGTTGGCTGTTCGCAGGGGATAGGTGTCAATTCCTTTGTAGCATTTTGTAAACACCAAGTTCCAATGAGACTATGAAGCGATTCATCTCCTTGCCCAGAAGGGCTGCCCCAGTTCAATTGTTTTAACATCGCTCCATTTATTTGTGTTTCTGCCTTGCGGCAAGATCAGGCTCCAAGAGACAGAAACCCAACCGTGCTTGCCATATGAAGTCCACGCAACACCCTTGGAACAATGTAACCAACCCGCCCGCCCGAACAGCATGGGAACAAAGTTGCCCTGCGGCCAACTGACATGTTGGTAGGAGAGTACTCCTACATGCCCACAGTTGGATTCCACGTGGATTCCGCGTGATTCCACCCCGTTCTGCTGCTTTTGTTTCTGGATGGCTTCGATTTTGCGGGGCCTCCCTTTTTGGAGCCTCCAAACGTGGCAGTTTGAGAGGGAACCGCCAGTCAATCGCAGCTTTCGAAGGGGAAATTCAGTGACCCCCGTTTTACCGTCCACAAGAACAAGATGTCACTTCCAGCAAACCTGGTGGTGAAGAAGCAATCGTCCGGGGGTATTGCTTGCTCCAGCTGCCAAACATACCTGCACTTGCAGGAGTCGTGAGGACTTTGTCGTGGAAAATATGGCCGCACCACAATTGCATAACATCTCCACAGCCCCGTCTCTGGTTTTGTTTGTGCTTGCATTATTTGTATAGAGGTGCGTCTCCTCTAGGCACGCATGTATGAATACTGTGCATGAGGCTATCGTAGCATTTCGGAAAGGATCAATCAATGGAGGTCTTTGGTATCAGCTTTTTCAGGCCTGGTCCTGACTTGTGTTTTTGTTTAAGACAGGTTCCATAGCAGCCTTAACGAGCACGGGATATGATTGTTGCGCCTCCATTGTGTTTTCTACCACGATCCAGGAGTGCTGGCAGGGCATGTGTCACCAGTGTTGAGGATGTTCTTGGGTTTACCTCAGCGAGGTCCCGGCCGTATACTAAGGAGCGGAGCCAGTGGTGTTGGAACCAGTGGTCTTGGAGAGAGCGTGATCAAAGATGATGAGTCCGGCAGCCAGTGACGCGATTCGTTTCCCTTTTCAACGTGCTTGACCGAGCAAGACCAAGTCTGCGGCTGCACGTCTAATTCGAAGGCCTCATAGCTGCAACTTGATTTAATGCGCTCCCAACTATGAGGGAGCAAGCATATTGCAGAAAGAAATATGCCCACTCATGGTTCCGACAAATTGTCTGGTCTTTCTTGTTGCAGAGGAATGCGTGTAGGTCGGAAGAAGTCACAGTGAGTCTCACCCTACAGCCGGAAAGGAAGGCGGTGCCGAAGAAAAAGCCATCCGACCTCCGGCCGAAATGGGGGTTGGTTGCGGGGGGCTTGCATCCTTGAATCGTTGTTAGCCTCGGACTTTGGAAGCCGCGCAACTTCCAACGTCGGCGCCACTCAGGGCAACTAGGGAACCCCAAGTGAAAGGTCGTTCAAAGCTTTTTCTGCCTTTGGGCACAGCCAACGCATCTACACACCTTGCAGAGGCCTGGGAAGCTTCTGGTCAGTATGTCCATGTGCTTCTTCTTGCTGGGCTTACTGCCATTCACTGAAGAGGACTTGCCAGCGGGGTTCATACAAGTATCATTTGTCTTGCGCATCGCACTGAGGCCGAATGAACAGCGGACAAAACAGTTGGTGCTGTGGCATATTGCTAGTTTCGGATTCAGAGAGGGCGCGCACGTCCAAGTTCCGCTGCTAAAACTAGGGTTCCCGGGCCCAACCCAATTTGGATATGTGGGCAAGACAGGGGCCCCGAAAATGGATTTCAGCTTTCCTTTTCGTTTCCCCAATAATAGAAAAACCAGCGAAAAGTATCACAGACCGGTTTTCCAAACCCAGGGCCAAGGCCCCGTGCGAATTTCCGCTTTTGAACCCCCAATGCCAATTTTGTCCGTGTCGCTAGGGTGGGGGCTACTCCATGGATCTCAACTTTGCGCTGCTGGTTCTGCCAACGCTGAAGAGTCTCCAGACCACCATGAGGCCCGCATCTTGTAAATTGAACCCATCTAGGGACCCCACGCCTTACAATGTATACATATGTAGAATGTCTATACTATTATATATAGCATACATTATATATATATATATACATATATATACACCTGGAAAGCCATATGGCCAGGTTTTTGGAAGGAACCCGTGTTTGGATGGTTTTTTCTCGTATGGTCATTTTATTTCTGGCTGGTGGCCGTATTTGGCCGTATGCAACCCGTACTTTCTCAACAACATGTTGACAAAAAGCGTAAATGACCGTAAGTTTCTCTTTTTTTTTTTTTTCGTGGCCCAAGCGTATGGACAGAAAGAAAACGTCACATATGGGTTTCCAGATGCATCTATATGTATATATATATATATGCCCCCCCCCCTTTCAAGGACCCTGGTGTTGGTGCCTTTTAGTGACGATTTATCTATCGTCTAGAGATTTAAATTCTCAAATTTCCAATTTTGGCCCCCGAGAGCCTCATAGTTTGGGGCCCGGAGTCCTCCAAAATGTCCAAATATGATACCCTATGCAAATAGGATTCATCTTCAACTAGAATTGGAAGTGTGAAGACAATCTAGTAAGGATATAGCTTCAAAAATGTGTTATATGTTCAATTATAACTTGAATAAACAATTCCTTTCCAAATAGGAGTTACATTTAACATGTAAGTATAATTTCGGGTAAACTCCAACTAAACTTTAACAAACTAAACTAGATAGGACTTTATTCCAAGATATAATGTTAAGTGTGAAAAATAATATAATACAAAAACAATTCAATTAGCTTTTGATAAAAGCCAAAAATAGCTAATTCTCAAATATACTTCATATTAAACACGGCTAAACATTTAAGGGACTTCTGAAGGAATTTTCAATTACAATTTGTGGTATTTACATTATGGCCCTTTATATCACAAGAAAGGTCCGAAATTAAACTCGTTATACGGTGCTCCAAAATGGACATTTTAAGGGAAGAGAGGTTCGCATTCTAAAACTATCTCGAAACAAAATTCTAACTAAATTAATTTTATTTAAAGTCTTGTTTGGACAGTAAATAATTCATTCTATCTCAAAAAGCGGAGGTAGTAGATGAGCAGAGGTGGACAGGCAGTTCAGAGGGTGGGGACGGTGTGTGAACCTATATATATATATAAATCTATACACATACATACAATATATAGTACCCCTCATAATCCTGCGCCTCTTCATACAATGCTGTAAAATGCAGTGTTTTCAGCATTACACCTACCTTTACCTCCTGGAAAAGGGTCAACATGAGCATAGCTTACATGCAGCAAACCACTCACCAACAGCACTTGAAAGTTTGTCTAATTTGGAACTTGAATGTGTTTCAAGTTCTTCTAACACTTGAAAGTGCTTTACCACTGGGTTGAGTATTCAACATTGACGATTGCACTGACAACAAGTTTCCTAGAATCATCCATCCTGGTCAACTCCAGAAAATGTTCAAGTTATTCTAAAAATCCGAAAGTATTTTACCACTGGGTTGAAGATTCAAGATAACAACTTTTAACAGACAGCTTTTCCAGTAATATTGTCCTTTCAGTTTGAATCCAGAAATGGCGGGAACTTGGAGGGTAGGGTTGCAA